CTCTGCGCCACCAGGGCTCCTTACATATGTGACAGCAGAAAAAAATTGTTATATAAAACCGCCCCACTGCCTTCCATGGAAGAGGACACTTGTTAACTGGAGGGCTCTGGTCACTGCGTGAGTTCCAGTTGAGGACCTGTGAGACTGAAGAAGCTGGGAGGAAGCATGTCCACTGTGGAGAGATGCAGAAACCCTGGAGAAAACCCCCGAGATGGAGGGACAGGGGGCTGAGAGAAGAGACCTGGGAGGGGAGATAAGTTCAACGGGGTTGTTTGTTTTTAAGTCTAGTGCCCTTGAAGTGTGATGTCATAACTTCTCTTTTCCATCTCCCTGCTAAAAAGCTTTTTAAAAATTACGCATTGATCACCAATGTCCAGGTGAGAAGAAATTTATTTTCATGGAGCTGAAAGATCTTCTAGATAGAAAGAGACAGGAAATTCCAAAGTGAAGTTTCAAACCAAGATGGGAATTTTCAAAGGAAATGACCACAAACTGGTTGCCACAGAGTCGTTCCCGACTCATGGTGACCCCATGTGTGTCAGAGTAGAACTGTGCTCCATGAGATTTACAATGGCTGATTTTTCGGATGTAGATCACCAGGCCTTTCTTCCAACGTGCCTCTGGGTAGACTCAAACCTCCACCCTTTCAGTTAGCGACCGAGCACAACCATTTGTGCCACCCGGGGACACAAACTGGTCAGAGGCGCTAAAATACCACAAGTAAGAGATATTATAGTCAATAGCAAGGAGGTGAGAGGCTATGGACTGGCCCAACCTTGATAGACCCCACCTCTTGGGGTGTGGGCAGCTGTGTCCAGATCTCCAGCAGCAAGCATGGACTGCAAGCATGGGGCACATGTCACATAGTGGGGGCCTGAGGGCCACATCCACCCTACAGATAGTTGTACTCGACCCGGACAATGTAACAAATCAAATTAATGGCCACATATAGCAACCATGAGATGTCACATAAAAATCTGAGTGTCTTTCTAAAAATTAGAAACTCTGGCCATAGTAGGCCTGCATTTCTATAGCACCATCTGTTGGCGCTAAATTGTGGCTGCCCCTTTTAGCCAGGGCATATGTTCTCCTGTTGGCTGCAGTCCTTACCACTCACTGTTGCCTATCAATTAACCTGCTTCACACCCTATGCTACCTACCCGGCCCCTGTAGGCACCCGTGTTTGCCACCTCTGAATTGAAGTTGGACAGGTCTAGGTTTGAAGCCCAACTCTATTAAAGAAAAGCTTTTTGACTTTTGTCAATGACTTAGTTTTGCCGAGCCTCAATTTTTGCTTCTGTAAAATGGGAATAATTATACCTACCTTACAGAACTGTTGTAACGATTTGACGGGATGGATGTGAATTGCGTTGTGTGAGTGTGGTGCAATGTGACAATTGTACAATGATGCTGTTCATGGCTCTGTGGCCAAGACCCATGTCTCTGCCCCTACTCTCTCCTTAGGTGTCCTGTGTCATTCCAGCAGCTCCAGAAATCTCATTTCTTCCAGAAAATCTCCCCAGACTAACCTGGGGAAAGGGGCTCCTGCCTTGCTGGCCAAGAAGCAGGGGGCGGAACACAGGCTTGGTCACTGCCGCCTGCTGATGAAAGGCCATGAATCTGAATCAGCGGGGGAAAGGGGAAACACGTCCAATGGGCAGAGCTGAAGTAGCTCCGAGGGGATGGGGAACTGAGGCCGGCTGGAACTGCTAAAATTATGGTGAGAGCTCCGAGAGCGGCTCCTGACTTTCAAAGGTTTGTTAGACCATTAGAGACAAGAGGCGTAATGAGGGCCTCTCTGTGGCCGGCTCGGCGACGGCTGGGCCCACAAGGCAGGGCGGACATGCCAGCACGAGGCTGGCAGCAAAAGGCTTTGCAGGCAGGGCAATTTTCTCTCTCACATCTTTCCCTTTGGTCTCCCTCAGTATGGGAGGAGGGAGCGAAAGGGTGGGGAAAAGGCTTTCAAAGACGGAAGAAAAAAAGGCTGAAACACCAAGTCCTTGGATCTCAAATTGCCTCTCCAGAGAAGTCTCTCTTGGCACCTTGTTAGCATCTAGAGAAAAAAGAAGCAGGGCAGGGGCAGAGGCTGGAGCCTGGAGGGAGGGGCAGAGGGTGCAGCTGTGGAGGGGGTGGGAGAGCTGACCCAAGCCAGCACCAATGTGGGGCCAGGGTCAGGGACTGGGGGCAGATGTCCAGGCGTCCGGAGAGGTAGGTCACAGATGAAACACTCGGTGACCTGAGTTCAAATGCTGGATATGCACTTATTGCTTGTGTGACTTTGGCAAGTACTGAGCCTTTCTGAGTCTCAGATTCCTCCCTTTCTTGGGAGGCTGTGAGGATGGATTAGACAATGGCTCTAAAGTGTAGAGCACAGTGATTGGCAAACAGTAGGTGCTCACTAAACACTGAACTAATCCTGTCCCCTAGCAACCTCCTCTTACTTCATGTGAACAAACAAATGTGCAAGCATGTTGCTCGCATGTGTTCAAAGACAGGTATGTATGTGTGTGCCATGTTTCTGCATATGTGCCTGTGTTGTGAGTTTATGGAGCACTATTAGCCCTGATAAGGAGTCCTTGGTGGTGCAAAGGGTTAACACACTGGCTGCTAATACAACAGTTGGTGGTTCAAGTCTACCCAGATGCATCTTGGAAGGCCTGGAGATCTACTTCTGAAAATCAGCCGTGAAAACCCTGTGGAACACAGTTCTACTCTGACACACATATGGTTGTCATGAATCAGAGCTGACTTGATGGCAACTGGTTGGGTTCCCCCTTCTGTCATGGATTAGATGGACCCAGTCTGTTTTCCAAGTTTTAAGTCACCCATTGGGCCCACCAACAGAATGTAAATGCACTTGGGTCTGCTGTGTCAGGTGCCCAGCCAGAGGTGGTGTGGCTCTGGGCAAAGACTTAACCTCTCTGAGTCTGCTAATGGGTCCTGGGGTGCAACTGCTCATCTCAGAATCATAGACATAGACCAGGGTGAGGAGAGGGTGAGCCAAGCCTGGGGCAGGCATGGGATGCTGCTTGAGTGATATGAAGGTATTTGAGCCTTAGGCCCTCTGTGCCAAGGCCTGAGAATGTGGGGACTTGTCTGGCTTCCTAAACCCTCAGCCCTGGGCCGGATCTCCAACCAAGGCATTGCCCTTACCTGGCGATGACAAAAAGGACACAGCTGACACCCAGGTAGGCGAGGAGCACGTACATCCAGATATCTGGGGATAGGGGGTTGAGGAAGGAGAAGACACTGGGGTTGGTGCCATTGGGCTTGCGATACAGGATGCTCACACCAAGTGTCATGAAGGGCTTGGAGAAGTCGATGGCCTTCTCGCGGACATGAGTGATGGTCAGGGGAGCCACGGCCAGATCTGCCTTCTGCAGTGAAAGAGACAGACAGACAGACGATGATCAAAGCTTTAGACTAGCAAGGGACAGAACACCCACTCTTGGTGGAGGGGAGATGAGGTAGGGAAGTGGAGTCAGGTGCCTGAACCACAGATCACCTAACTACTCTTCAGTTTCAACATTTACTAACGCTCCTTCTGTGCCAGGCCAATGCCCAGAGTGCTGGGGAGACAATGATAAATTAGAGTTAACTTCTGTTCTCCAAGAGTTCACGGGTTTGAGGATGTCAACAGTGGTATAAAACATGCAGAGAATGGAACCCTGCTAAAGCTGTAACCCATGTGGTCCATTCTCAGAAGGATGCATTGTCAAACAAATACAGTCCAGCAACCTACAATATTTTAAAAATAGTGCATTTTCTTTATTTGTGTCTTTCAAACATCATGCAGGGGACACAAAAGCCACAACCACCCTTATTTAAATCTGCTTTCCTCTCCCATCCATTTCTTAACTGCTTCACCCCATTCTTGATATTCCTTATATCCTAAAAGTCCAAAACACCAGTCAGGCAAGGATAATATCATCTTTGGAGGGTGAGAGTGGGGAAGAAACTGAACAGGCAAAGACAGAGTCTTCTTTAATAGGTTGGTGAGGGAGGGGATGGTTAAGGTTAGGAACGCTCATATGTTAAATTTTAGTCCATCACAGTTTTAATGAGGGGAATAATTAAAGTTCTATCTCTTGGGTCTGAGCTTCTTTATGATTAAACATCTCAAATCCCTCATTCTCGTCCCATCTTCCCAGCCTCACCCCACTGCGCTCCTCCTACATGAAGCCCATTAAGCTGTTTTCTCTTTATCACATTCCCTCTTCACCTCCATGTTCTGCACACACTGTGCCCTGTTTAGAATGTCCTCTCCCCGTTGTCCAACTCTTACCTCCTTCCATATTCCTTTGCACCATGCTACCTCTCCCATGAAGCCCTCCCTGATAATCTCCAATTCTAAACTCCCACAAAGCTTGCTCTGCTCATGGCAAGGCTCTAACCTGCTCAGTCTGAATAGCAGTGTGTGCAGTCATGTGCATGTGGGTCTTAGTAGCCTATTCACCTGTGAGTTCCTGAGCACAGATGGGGCTGTGGCTGATTTGTGGCTTCTTTTCTCCGTTTCCAAGCCTCATATCAGTCTCCATAACATTTGTTAATAATGTTTGTCTCTGAGAGGCTGCGCCTTGGGCTTCTGTGGATATTTACTTCTCAGAGTGTGAATGAAGTTATCACTTCCCTTCCTCGGATGGCACAGGTCAGGAAGGGAGGCTGGGGCTACAGATCCTTTTGCCAAGGGGGGCCCTGCCTCTGAGACCCCCTCCCAAGGCAACAGCCTCTAGGCAGCCACACATTAGCTCAGTTTGGCTCTATCCATCTATTCACTCATTCATTCATTGTTTTATGGGATCTGCTGGGCACTAGGGATATAGAACTGAGCCACACAGACATGCTTTCCTCCCTCATGAGGCTTACAGTCTAGTAGGGGAGATGGACCTTAATCAAATGTCCACCAAATAACATTATACTCACAATCGCAGTGAGTGCTATGGTTGAAAAGAGCAAGGGGCTCTGAGGCCTATGGGTCAGGGAAGAATTCCCCAAGGAAGTAATATTTGAGCTGAAATCTGAAGAAATCAAATCGGAAAAACAAGGCAAAGCTAGGGAGGGAGGATGGGAGGGAGGGCAGGAGAAAAGAGTGGGTGCAAAGTTCTGGAATGGGAAATTAATTGACAGCAGCCCAGTGAGGTTAGCAGAAAGCAAGGGCAGACATGGCCATGGTGATGAAGGTGGGGCTAGGCCCTCAAGGCTTTGAAGGCCATGCTAGGAATTACAGAGTTTATCCCCAGGGGCAACTAGGAGTTTGGCCGAGCCCTCTGGCTCTGCTAATTGTGTGGTTGGCATGGAGACCACCAGACAACTCTCTTTGCCAGCCTCTCATCTGGAGGAATGCCAGGCCCTCTCAAGAGCTAAAGAAAGGCTGAGAGTCACAGGTCCTAAGTCATCTTCAGTCTCAGCCTACCTACCATCCCTGAGGGAGGAGGCAGGGCACGGTCTGGCCTGTGACCCCCGCCTGGGCTAGGTCATGGGTTGGAGGGCTGCAGTGAGCCAGAAGGCACCACTAGCCCCTGTCCTTCCTCCTCTGGCATCAAAACTGGGCACAGTTACATGAAGGGAAATTCTCAATGCAAACCCCAAAACTAGTTTTGAATCCCTGCAAATTAGATCTTTTTCTCTGCCGTTCCCTCCCTCTGAAGCTCACAAATGATTCAGCGCACAAGTCACCATTTCCCAGAATCAAGAATTGCTGAGGGAAGGATCCTTGTCAGGAAAGCTGGACGCCAAGACGAGAAGCTCAGCCTGTACCTGGATCTCAGAAACTCAACAAGCCTCTTTCCAGAAGATCCGGCATTTCCCCGTCTCTGCTCTGTGGTCCCTCAAGCTCAGGATGAGTGAGTGGCAGGCACTTCTTCCTGGTTTCTCACTGATTCACTCTAAGTCTAGGGTCCTTTCATCTCCCTCCTGGACTCCTTGTAATTTGAGGCTCCTCTTTCCCTGGGAGGGAGAGTTTAGAAATGGGGCAGAGAGGGTAATGACCGCCAAGCTGCAGGGCATGGGGCCATCTGGGGCTGTGGTAGAAAGTGCACTGGCCTGGGCTAAAGGTTGGCGGTTTGAACCCACCCAGCAGTGCCACAAATGAAAGGACTGGCCATCTGCTTCCATAAAGATTACAGCCCAGAAAACCCTACAGAGCAGTTCTACTCTGTAACATACAAGTCAGAATTCGACTCGACTACAACGGGGCTGGTTTTGTTCTGACTCCAAAATTGTTAGTTTTGCTCAGAATGCATTTGGAACTGGTCTCTGAAAATTGCCTCTGGGGTTTGGAGTGGATTCTTGGGAAGAATCTCAAAGTCAATGGAGGTGAATCTTCCTCTGGCTTTTGATGGCAAGCAGGATGACAGAGTTGGTGGCTGGTGGATCTAGGAGTTTGCAGTCAACGCCTGTTCTTAAGTGCTCCAGGGGCTGGCGAGGAAGCCGACCACAGGGCCACAGGCCCACCTTTCTTCTCCCAGGCCTTCTCAGAGCCCCCAGAATCTCCCTCCAGCCTTCCTGCTCTCTGGCTGTAATGAGGTTCGGAGGGGGTGGGGGCATCCATGGCATTCTATATCTACAGCAGCAAGACAACTGGTCAACACACAGGCAGAGTTTTGATGTGTGTGCTCCCTCGGACTTCAGGAAGGCTAGAGTTGTCCACTTCATTTTTGGTTTAGGCAGGAGAAAACTCCATTTCACCGTTGGTTACGATTTCCCTGAAAAAGGCATTATTTTGTCCAACTTCCCTTGAAAGATCGGAACAGATGTCAAGCCTTTGCTGTTTCAGTTCATCACTCAGAATGAAAGGCCCAATCTTGGCAGGCTTTTCCCACTTGTGCAAGTTTTCTTTGAGGATGATTCATAAAATCATAGGTTGTCAGAGCTGGATGAGAGAACTTTGAGAACATCTATTCCAATGCC